TAAGGAAAGTGAAAAATCGGTAGAAAGGAAAATCAAACTCATACATAATAGGATGAATATAGACAAGATAACATGCAAATCAAAGGCTTGAACCAATTTTGGTTCAATTTGAAGAAAATCTGTAAACCCTAGTTTTAGGGTAAGTAAGAATCAATAAAATATAAACAAAATCAGACTCATACGGTATAGAATAAACGTATGTAGACCGAATATCGTCCAGATTCAGGAAATAAGAGTCAATCGGATAGAATCAGAGTGATAATACTTTCCATGTTTAGGCAAGTATTAGGTAATACCATGGAAAATCAACAAATAGCAGAAATATAGTAATATGGTAAGGAGATGAGAGAGAAATCCCATTAGAAGAGGGAGTATGGGAGGGCTTTGAGAGGTAACGGCTAGGGTTTCTCAGAGAAGAAGAGAGAGTAGAGAGGATTTAGGGGTGGCGGGTGGTGAGAATGGTTAGGGTTTGGGTGGGTTTGGATAATTAAAGAGAGGGGGTGAACGTGGGCCGTTGATCTTGAGAGATCAACGGTTGTGATTAAAGATAAATGGGGCAGGACGTATAAAATGGGTACCGACCGAGTCTTGTAAAGGGGTGTTTGGTTTGGGCTTGAGATTTATTGGGCTAGGGTGTTAGGTTTGGGCCAGCAATTGGTCCGAAAATGGGTGGGTTTTTTGCTAGTTTTTAAATATCCAATATTTAATAAATAAATAATTTATAAAAATAATTAATAAATAATAAAATATTATTTGTGCACTAAAATGATTAAAAATAATTACTTAGCGTTATAAAAATTCATTTTCTACATAATTACTATAATTATACATGCATATGGGCTATTATTGCAAAAATATGCAACTAGCCTTAAAAATGCAAATGTAATTATAAAAAATGCATTGAAAATATTTAAAATCTCATGTTGGTATAAATGATAAGTTAAGTTGATTAAATCATAATAAAATAATTTGAAGGATAATTATTTGATATTTATATATAATAAAATGCAGGAATAAATTGGTTTAATGTCTTTAAAAATTATAAAAAATATTTGTGTATGCTTATAAATCAAATGATGATGCATATGCACTATTCTGAAGGTATATATATATCGACAGTCCTGCATCAATACCGTGTCGAGGCCAACTCGCGACGCATCACAATCACTAGTATAAGACCCCGAACCTGTAGGCAATACCAATATTAGGGTTGTAGTCAAAGCTGTCTTGAGTTTTTGAAAGCTCTCCTCACACTCCTCTGTCCACCTGAACAGAGCACCCTTCTGGGTTAGCCTGGTCATAGGCGCTGCAATAGATGAAAATCCTTCAACAAATCGACGGTGATAACCCGCCAAACCAAGAAAGCTCCGGATCTCTATAGCTGAAGACGGTCTGGACCAACTCCGCACTACTTTCACCTTCTTCGGATCCACCTTGATCCCTTCACTCGACACTACATGACTCAAAAATGCCACGGAATCTAACCAGAACTCACATTTTGAGAACTTTGCATATAATATCTTATCTCTCAATGTCTGAAGCACAATCCTCAGGTGCTGCTCAATAAATACAATGATGAATGAGTCAAGATAGGGCCGAAATACACTGTGCATCAAATGCATAAATGCTGCTGGGGTGTTGGTCAACACAAATGACATCACAAGAAATTCGTAATGATTATACCGAGTCCTGAAAGTAGTCTTCGGGATATCTAGCTCCCGAATCTTCAACCGATGATAACCTGAATGCAAGTCAATCTTGGATAATACTCTGGCACCCTATAACTGATCGAATAGGTTATCAATACGAGGCAAAGGATATATGTTCTTGACAGTGACTTTGTTCAACTGGACATAATCAATGCACATACGCATAGAACCATCCTTTTTCTTCACAAACAAGATAGGAGTACCCCAATGTGACACACCGGGCCTAATGAAGTTATCAAGCATTCCTGTTACTGTTCCTTCAACTCGTTCAACTCAGGAGGAGCCATATAATATGAAGGAATAGAGATAGGCTAAGTGCCCGGCAACAAATCAATGCCAAAATCAATATCTCTGTCAAGCAGCATGCCCGAAAGATCATCTAGAAATATATCAGGAAAATCCCTCACTACTGGGACTGACTCAACTATGGGGGTATCAAATACATACATCTCTTACATAAACTAGATATGTGTCACACCCCTTATCAACCATTCATTGAGCTTTAAGAAAAGAATTAACTATGCTAAGAGTGTAATCTAAGGTACCCCTCCACTCTAATCGCGGTAAACCTGGCATAGCCAGCGTCACGGTCTTGGCGTGAAAATCAAGAATAACATAATGGAGTGACAACCAATCCATGCCCAAGATAATATCAAAATCTACCATACTGAGCCATAATAAATCGGCTCTGGTCTTAAAACCACTAATAACAACCAAACATGACCGATATTTACGGTCAACAACAATAGAATCTCCCACGGGTGTAGACACATGAACATGAGAACTCATAGAATCACGGCCAACGCCCAAGTACGGGTCAAAATATGATGACACATAGGAATAAGTGGAGCCTAGATCGAATAGAACCGATGCATCTCTATGACAGACCGGAACAAAACCTGTAATGACATAGCCGGAAGCAACTGCCTTTTTACGAGAAGGAAGGGCATAGTATTTGGCTTGGCCTCTCCCTCTAGGGTGACCTCTACCTCCCTGACATCCACCTCGAGCTGGCTGAGTAGGTGGAGTAGTAGCTGGTGCTGGAGTCATGGTCTGAGGACCTAGTGAGGCATGCGGTGCCTGAGAAGTCTATGGAGATGCACCCCTCCTAAGTCTAGGGCAAATCCTCACCACATGGCGAGTGTCGCCACACTCAAAACAACTGCGATGTTGACGTGGTTGTGGGAACTGTGCGGTATGGGTACTTTGAGACCCATGAGCACATGAAACACTGTACGAAGCCTGAAACGCAAACTGAACTGGGTGACCCACAAAACCTCTACCATGTCGTGCCTTGCCTCCAAAATAAGGACCATTGGATCTCTCCAGTATACAAGGTCTCCTCGCCTCCATGCACTCTCTCTCCTGACCTCGTCTGCCCTCTGTATCCTGGACCTACCTTTCCTATACCAGGCGAGCGATCCCTACCACCTAGTGAAATGGGACCACGGGCTGTCTCCCCATGCACCCGGAACCTGACCAACGTGAACTTGCTGATCTGGAATGTGAGCGGCGGGAGTATGGGCCCCTCCCCCAGTCTGTGAAGTAGCTAAGGTCTCCTGAATCAACCCTGCCTGAATCAATGTACCAAACATACTCAGGAACTATGCTAAGGTCTCCTTAAGTTCGGAGGTATCAGTAGGCGCCCCCGGTACCTGCCCCAACAGGAGCTACTAGCGACTCCTCAATTGTTGTTCTGGTAGGTGCTCTATCTGCTGTGCGCACTCCTCATCGGCCTTTGCCTCTATCTCTCTCTCTCTCTCTAGCGACACCTGCTGTGGGAGCAGCGTCATCGATAACTACAGTTCGTGTCCTCACCAACTGCGGAGAATGGAATGATAAAAGTTGAAACTCTAAGATCAATAAGCTCTCACGATAGGAATGAAAGAAGCGTAACTTTCGTAACAGTTTCATAGCCTCCCGAAGATAAGAATAGATGTCTTTGTACCGATCCGCGAGATTCTAATAAACCGACTAATGACTCACGACTCCTATGCACCTAGAGCTCTGATACAACCTTGTCACGGCTCAAATTCTCCCTCCGTGAATTGTCGTGACGTCACCTAGTCTCTACGACTAGGTAAGCCCAACATTTTGCGGAAAAGAAATGAAGAACATGAAAATTTACAACTAACACTAACAGAACACATAACTGAATACCATGCTACTTGGCATATACAATAACCAACTACTCGGTAATACACAATATGCCCAAAACCCAAAACATCATGAGTCACAAACTATAAAAAGAAAATAGTATCTCTATAATCTAGAGTCTAACAAAAGGGAAATACAGGAAGCGTTTGCCATGGGGAAGAGTAGAAAGGGACTCCGAGATCTACGAACGCGGCAGATATATCTTGAAGTCTCCAGAGTTGTCTTGACTCACTGATAATGTGGCTGATACGCAGTACCTGGATGCAGGGAAGGGCATGAATATACCACAACGGTACCCAATAAATGCCAAGCCTAACTTCGGTCGAGTAGTGACGAGATCAGGTCAAAGCCCTACTGGTATATATATATATATAGACAGAATAAAATATCGTAGTAAAATAAAGACCGAAATTTAACAAGAGTGAAATCATTGAAAGGTAATAGCTCAATACACAGAGATAACAACAGGGGATCTCCCGAGATACCGTCTCGTAGTCTCAAAGTAAATGTGCAGGGGGATCTACTGGAACACCATTCTGTAGGCCCAAAGTAAATATGCAGAACAGGGGTATCTACCGGAATACCCACTACTAGAAAATTTACCTATGGCTACGCATGGAAAACCGTTGCAACAGATAGGTAAATCGTTGCCATAGATGTATTACAACGGTTCAACAACCGTTCCACAAGCTTGCGTGCCTATAGAGCTTATGGAACGGTTCAGCTAACCGTTGCTATAGTATAGTCTATCACAACGGTTTTCCCTCGTCCTTCTGGAACGATTATTTTTATCTACTGCAACGGTTGATTTCCGTTACCATAATTTTAAATGCAACGGTCATTAACCGTAACTATATCTATTAAGTCGTTACAACTATTTAAGAAATGGCAACGATTTCTTTAAGATATTGCAAAGGTTGAGCTACCTATTGCAACGTTGTTTAGATTATTTTGGAACGGTTTGCATGTCCTATGGCAACGGTTCTGTAAGCTACTGTAACAGTTTAATTGAATTGAAAATATTGTCCCCTGTTGTGAATACAGATTTACATATATATACAATAAACTATAGCACACTAAAATTCATATAAATAACAAAATGAAACTATTTTTAATCCAAATTATCCAACAAGCTATAATAATATCCATAGATAAATGTTACCAAGTACATACATTTGATATTTCAAGAGTTAAAAGTTTTAAAATGTTTTGATAACAAACATTCCTAGAAACTGCCACATGCATCTACAACAATCAACAATTCAAAATTCTCTTAAGTAGGTCTAGATTTTCATCACTGCCTCTGTCTTTCATTTCTTCATCTACTCCACCTACAAAAGAGTATAAATAAACTCCACCTACAAAAGAGTATAAATAAAGTCATTATCCCCGAGAAAAGTATTAGAAAGAACAAGTGACTATAAGCAGACTAAGTGAAGAATATCTCTATAGGAGAATTTCCTTATGTTTATCCTCTGATTAAACCCGCTAGTTACATATTCCTTACTTGACGAATGTTTTGTTGTAAATGACATCCTAGTTTGGAAACATGGTGGTAAATGACTAAGAAGAGTAGAACTATTAATATTAGTGTTTATGTAGGGCTTTAAATCCCAGTTCAATCAGAATTCAAAGTTCTATGAACATTAGAAGCATGCACACAATATAATATATACTCTCTAAAAGAAAGCGAGAGAAGGAAACAAGAGGGAAGGCAATGACATAGTGTACCAAGCCAATCGAGAGATGTGCTCAGATAAAAATTATTTTTTCTCATTACTTATGATAAACGTCACATTCCCCTCTAGCTATTCCATCCATTGCAGAGAACTATGGCAACGTGAATACGGTTTGAAAAAAGTTGAGATGTGCTCATTATGTAACTTTAGTGAAGAACATGAAAATGCCACTCAATCCTAAAGTGTCTTTAATTAAGACTTGATTGTGAACTACTTGGTGTTTGCAGATTAGCCTCAGAAATAGAAGATACTATCAGATTTATGGTCTGGCTACTGAAAATGCTTACCCGAGTGAGGAGCTTGGGCTAAATCCTAAATCTCCCACAAAACAAACACCCACACACACACCAAAGAAACTAAGAATCCATGTTTGTTTTCTATTACTCCTACTTTTAAACCATATCTAGCAAACTCCAGAATCTCAAACCTTGACAATTAAATAAGGACAATTCCTCAAAACCGAAAACCAGTGAGAACCCCATCTCCAGTCAACCCCGAAACAACTTCAAACCCCAGCCAAAACTCCCTTAAAATGACTTCACAAATAACCCATTCTCCACCATAAATATCCTTTAAAACCAGTAAAACATTGCCGGAAAGAGAGAGACCGAGAGAGCGCACAATGGTAGAGAAGCAACATAAAAAAAGAGGAGAAGAAGAGAAAGAGAAGACGTGTAACATTTGGTACGGACTAACCTTGATTGTTACTGCCAGCGGATGGACGATTGATTTGTTGAATAGCATCGTGTTGTGCAGAAGAAGCTTCACCAGGTGCAAGAGCACTGAATACTAGCATGTCACGATCAAGTCTTCAAATCGGGGTTGAGACGTTGAATTCATGTAACGATGTTCATCATAATATCTTGTTCCATAGCTTCCTTTTGTCCATTCAACTTTTCCAGCAATCTTTGTTGCATCCTCTCTTCCATTTCCTCCATTTGTTGTTGCATTCTCTCATCAATAGCATTTACAGAGGATCCAAAATTTCCTTTATTCTTTTTTAAAAAAGTCTTGTTAACTCAAACTACTATTACACCATAGAAATAGATTGTGCAGACACTTATTTTTTATTCTAGAAATATGATCTTGCTGCCCATTGAATGCCAAAACAACCAAAAAGTCCTGGCAACTTGGCAATGAAGCAGAATGAACTATAGTTGATTTTAGCCAAAAGGATATGGAGCAGAATATGGCGAAAGATGAAGAAAGAGCCATAGCAGGAATCAACTAGGTTCAAGAAAGGAAAAACATCACAATGTTGAACTTCTTTAACCACACAAGGTGCAGCTGTTAAGGAGAGAGTTCCTGTTTAATGTTTCCACAATTCCTTGGCTATACCCTGGCCTTGTGTTTTAGGTAACAATGACGTTAAGGACAACTTTTCTAGTACGCCAAGACATTCAAACAACACAAAGTGTAAGAGGCAAATCATATCTAATATCTAATGCATTTCTCGACAGATATATACTTTATAAAGGAGAACTATGCCAACATTACATAGCTTCTCTATGATGGAGATTTGATCTTCATAGAACATGCTCTAATTTTTTGACCTACTGATACTAAGACAAATTATAGGTAGAAGTAAAAGTGAATAAGGCATGTAATCCCCTTTCTCATGCATTCCAACATCTAATAATTTCTAGTTTATTTACAGGAGCTTTGTTTATTCCAACCAAAAGTTGGCAAAAGTTGGATGTAATTACCATGGCGGGATCGGAGTTCCAATATTCAAGAAGAGCTTTAAAGTGAGATGTCGGAACATCTAGCGGCCTATTCTCCATTTGAAGCTTGTCATTCTCATAACTTTAAATCCCTTTGATTTAAAGTGAGCACCCTTCTTGATTCATGACTGTTAAAATCTCTGTCAGATTCAAAAGAGCAAACGCGAAATAGGTTAGCAAAAGCATTAATAGAAAGCATTTTTAAGTAATTTCTGAATCAAATATCGAATAGGTTAACTATATAATAATATTTCAAATCAAAATGCCAAATGGGATTTTCCAAGATGGCAGAAGTGATATGCCAAAAAGAGATGAATGAATCAGCCAAAAAGAAGAGTGGCAGTCATCAGACAATGGCTGAATTGCAGCAGGTATCAACAAATATCAGCAAGGATTCTTGCACAACCAAAAACAATATTAATGAACACAAGAATATGACCAAAATTTGAGACTAACAAGTCATTGCTCACCCCTAGTCCCAGTAATTCAAGAAGCAAATTGGCCCGAAGTAGTTTCCAGATAATTTAGCACTCCAATAGTAAAGCCCAGCTAAAGTCACAACTGCCTGGATTAATCACAATACAAAGTGTTAGGAAAAAATTGATGACATATAATTGCTTTTCAGGGAACTTCTATTAGAATAAGATATTACATCTCAAAAGATGTTTAAAATGTCTAGCAGAACAAATAATCAACTAATGTAACCAATAAGAGACGTCGCACACAACTATTTCATCCTAGCACACCTCCCTACAACTAGCTACATTGTGCAGTTTAGTCGCAAGAATATGATAGTATGAGAAAACTGATGGCATTATACATGTATAAAGCATGTAATTAACACACATATAGAACAAACCCATATGTATTTATTACATCTAAAAAATACTAGAGATACAAATATCAAGATTGCAACTGAAACTTTTCAACTTTTTTATACACATATGTAAAGTAGGACTTACGCAAATAGAGAGATACCCATGAAGAAAGAAACAAAGCAGTGTCGGCCTACTGTTAAAATATTTCTGTTGTTCTCTGTAATTTTCTAGTTTGAACTTTTTCTCTTTTCTTAAGAGAGTAGCTTGATGAGTCCACTTCCTATTTTTCTACATGTTTCTCTGTCTGCTTTGTGTAATCTATGGGCATATCCCTTTCAGTTATGCTTCCCTTATATTAGGTATAATTGTTACTACTAAAGAAATGGGAGAAAGAATCAGTTTCTCTGTCTTGTCTTGTTCACCATTTTAAGAAAAAAGTTGTTAACTTGTTACTGCTCACTATTTCTCTTGTTGCCATCATGTGGATTGACTGGCAATTTGACCAGCAACTCAACTCATATAGTTTTGTTTGGATTTTAGGATCATATATCAGGAGAGCTCAGCGAAACCAAATCGGAGGAGAAAGATGATCAATTTAATAAGGGACCATAGCTTAATGATCAGGTGTTAATAAGGAAAGCTAAGAGATCAGCTTAAGGATCTTAATGAGTTATTAGCTAATCACAGAGAGATGTAAGGCTAATCAAGAGAATAAACAATCCAAATTCTCCCCGAGATGAAACTATCTGTCTCTATTGACGAAATGCAATACCTCACGGGGAGAATGACTATTCTCAGTCCCTTCAGAAAGAAGTGCCATTTTTCAGAGGCCTTTAAGAATGTGAATGACTTCCAATTAACAAATGGATGACACTGCTTGGATAAACTCACTGTAACCAACCCCATCTCTTCGACATCTTGATTTCAACGAACACAAGTTCTAATCATTTTCAGTTGCACGCGGCTTATATCATCTATTTAAACAACAAGCTCTTTTCATTCACTATCAAAATAATGTGAAGGAAGCTTACAGAAACATCGAAATTTAAACAAAAACACAAAAACCAACCCACGAGCAACCAACCCAGAAATTTAAACAAAATACACAAAAAACAACCCAGAAATTTAAACAAAAACAAATTTAAAAAGCTGCTAAAAATTAAGCCTTCAACACCCACACGAGTTAAGATATCAAACTAGATTTGCGATGGCCATTATGCATACTTAATTGCAACAAAGAACAAGAAATTAGAAATCAAAACTCGAAAGAAGAGAGCTGTTTACCGATTTTCAATTTGGAGAAACTCGAAAGGATTAATTAGCACGCCGCTCTGTTGTTGAGCCTGGAGTCCAAAATTAAGCCTTCCAATTAACGATTTTCAGATTTGAAGAAACTGTTGATGGATGAGCTTGGATCGAGTCCAAAATTGCCTGGAGGAGATCGAGTCTGAAATCGCCTTTGTATCTCGTTATCTCCGATATGAAAACTAAAATTAGGGGTTTAATATTTTATTAGACATAAAAGCTAAAAAATAAAAATTGAAAATCAGATTGTGGCCCCTTTAATTTTAGCGGGTATAGAAAATTTGGGTGAAAAATAAGGAGGGAATTAATGACTGTAACAATAGATATAACCGTTGCCATAGATAGATTTATTGCTACAGTTATACAAAACGTTGCCATAGATACCTCTATTGGAACGGTTTTAAAACTATTGCAACGGTTCGGTTGCTAAGTTTCCCGATAGTTCCAATAATTTTTGTAACGGTTAAAACCGTAACAATACACCATTTATAGCAACGGCTACGGATCCGTAGCAATTAAAAGCATTGCCATAGCTACAATTTCTGGTAGTGACCGTTCTGTAGTTCCAAGGTAAATATGCAGAACATGGGGATCTATCGAAATACCGTTCCGTAGTCCCAAAGTAAATATGCAGCTCAAACAACGGAAATAACAGTTACAGTAGAGAACCTACAGTTTAGACTAACCACAAGTCAAGGAGAAACATAAATTTCACTAAACATGCTACACAGAGTTCAGATAAGCAATTAAGGCAAGTAGACATGCTATTCTAAGCTAACATGATACTACACAGGTTATTATTCAGTGAAAATCGAGTTTTTACAATAATTAGTTCGTGTACGTACTCGTCACCTCACATACACAGCGCTCACATATATAAAACAACACCAATCCAAAGGGGAGTTCCTCACACAAGGTTAGGCAAACCACTTACCTCGAACCAAGCTCAATCACTCGATAACAATACCTTTTTTTACGAATATCCGACTCTGAATGGCCCAAATCTAGCCAAAAAACAATTACATACCATAAGTATAACTATAATAGACTAATCTAATTAATAAAATCAAAACATAAATAAGAAATTCGAAAATCGCCCTAAAAAGCCTCCCCGGGCCCACATCTCGGAAGCAGGTAAAAGTCACAAAATATGAACACCCATTCACTCACAAGTCCAACCATACCATAATTAGCCAATTTCGATCACAACTCGACCTTCAAATCCCCAATTTATGGTGTATGAAGTTTCTACAAATTTTTTCGAAATTCTCATCTCAAAGTACTAATTAAATGATTAAATCAGTGATATATTCATGTATATTAACCCAATCCGAGTTAGAATCACTTACTCCGATGAATTTCTTGAAAATCCCACGAAAAATCGTCTCAAACCGAGCTTCTATTGTCCAGAAATAAAATAATACCCTAAACCTTGGTTATATACTATCCAATCTGACCTCTCAATGTGCGTTTTGCACAACTCCAAGTGTGGTCGCACATCCTGGCTTCTGCGGTCGCACAAATATTGTGCGGCTGCACTTCACAGTCTCTCCTCTACCAAGCTTCTGTAAATTGGTTATAGCTTTCTCTACAGATGTCTAAATGATGATTTCTTTATCTTTATGGAAACTAGATACGAAGGGCTATAATTTTCATTTTTGAATCATCTCCAAATTCCTTGTAGATTAAAATATATAAGCTTCCGAAGTCAGACCAGAGAACCTGTAGAACCACCACAAGTGCGGCCACAGACAGAATTGTGCGGTCCGCAATTTTTTGCTCTATGGTCCGCATATTTTTGTCTGCTGCAACACTTCTTCATCTGCTACAACACTCAAAAATGTGCCGCAACACATGGAATTGTGCGGTCCACACTTCCCACGTTCCAGAACAACATCAGAGTGACAAAATGCCCGGACTCGCTCAAAACTCACCCTGAAACACATCCGAGGCCCCCAAAACCTCAACCAAACATACCCACAAGACCTAAAACACCATATAAACTTAGTCGAGCCCTCAAATCACATCAAACAACGTTAAAATTACGAATCACCCTTCGATTCAAACATAAAGATCTTGAAACTTCAATTTTTCTACAACCGATGCTGAAACCTATCAAACCATGTCCGAATGACCTCAAAATTTGCACATAAGTCATATTCAACCTTACGCACCTACTCTAACTTCCGGAATTAGAATCCGGCACCAATATTAAAAAGTCCACTACCGGTCAAAATCTTCTAAACTTTGACTTTCGCTATTTCAAGCCTAAATAAGCTACAGACCTCCAAAATACAATCCGGATACGCCCCTAAGCCGAAAATCACCCAACGGAGCTAATGGAATCGATGGTACTCTATTCCAGAGTCGTCTTCATACAGTTACGACTGTGGTCCAAATTCAAAGACTTAAGCCTCCGTTTATGGACTTAGCGACCCAAAACGCTCCAAAAAACCAAAATGAAACCTCCCGGCAAGTCATATAAGTAGAAAAAGATATGGTGGAAGCAGTTAATAAGATATTGTGGCTAGAACTCTCGAAACAACCGGACGAATCGTTACAACTAAGAAAAGGGTCACAAGATATATAGCTCTAACATGACGATGAGCTTATGGCGGTAAATGACACTGTGAGCTTATCATATAATAATGATCTTAGATGTTGACCCATATTATTAACTTATGCCCCTGCTTTCTCCAGTGTCATTACTTGTGAATTTAGATTCTAACATGAGTCTCTTTGACATCAATCACTTTATTTAATTTTGGTTTATACTGATGAAACAGATGCATAAAGAGCCCTGCTTATCTATCAATGGTGACAAGCAATAGTATAATCGGGAAGTAGCCATATTCATATTGATTGTCTACCTACAAATACATTTTGGAATTCACAATTTTGGTGGCTTTTGATTCATTAACGTTAATTAGTTACAGTATTGCAACATACTATATATTTACCTCAGAGGCGGATCCACGATTTTAATTTTATGAGTTCCTACAAAAATCTCAAGTTAATATACAATAATAATTGGATTAACGAACTGGGTTTCAAGCTAAATATTCGTATACATTTAGGGTATATGTCACGACCCGGATTCCCCACCGTCGGGATCGTGATGGCGCCTACTCGTGAAAGCCAGGCAAGCCAACCGATACGTTATAACACATTGTATTATCAACCTAAACAGTAGTAATAAATTGCAAATAAAGCTAAGCAAGTATAAAATACGGAATTTCCATAACAACTTAGGTTCTAAAACAAAGCTACCCAACGATCTGGTGTCACAATGTCACGAATATCTAAATATTTCTACAAACATTGGTTGAAAAGAAATATAACTATTCTCGACATGAAAAGAGACAGTATATCTAAAATATAAGGAAGGGGACTCTGCAGTCTGCGAACGCTGGTAGATCTACCTCGGGTCACCTATGGATTGAAGGCAGCAACCCACGATCTACTCACGAGGTCGAGCACCGAAATCTGCACAGAAAGTGTAGAGTGTAGTATCAGTACAACCGACCCCATATACTGGTACGTGTCGAGCCGAACCTCGGCGAAGTAGTGATGAGGCTAGGACACAACAACCATATAAACCTGTGTAGTTAAATCATATACGAACAGAACAATAATAACAGGAAATAACAAATAAAGATGGAAGGGGACATGCTACGGGGAATATCAAATTCTAACAGTAAACCAAATAGAGAAGCATAATGAACACCATATTTGTATCAACAAGAATAATGAACAGTAACACGTGCACGACATCATCCTTTGTTCTTTTACTCTCGTTCTCACCATATGAAACAATATAAACGGTATGGCATCACCCTTCGTGAATTAAACTCTGACAATATCGGCACGACATCACCCTTCGTGCATTAGCTCTCAAATCATGGTATGACATCGCCCTTCGTGCATTAACACTCACAATATTGGCACGACATCACCCTTCGTGCATCAACACTCACTCAGAATATCATGCACGACATCACCCTTCGTGATTTACACTCTTCCACACCCAAACAATAGAAACAATACATCCTGGCAAGGGAATCAACAAGAGAAACAATAACATCCCGGCAAGGGAATCAGCTGTAACTAATCTCGTTTCAACAGTTAACTTCACAAAATAAATCTCAACTTGAGCCAATACTCAACAATGGTCAATTACCAAGAAATTATTGTAAATCTTGTTCAAAAGTGATAATCATTAACTTAAGCATGGACATACATAACAAGAGTCACAACAATCATGGTATAAGACTCACGGGCATGCTTGACACCAACGCATAGATACTTGTCACCACACCTATACGTCGTACTCAACACTAACACGTAGTAAGTAAGACCACAACTCATATTCCCTCAAGCTAAGTTTAGACCAAACACTTACCTCAATTCCATAGATAAAATCAAGCGTCAATTACAGCTTTACCTCTCGGATCCACTTCCAATCCGCTTGTATCTAGTCATAATTTGCTTAATAACATAAATAAATGCTAAATAAACCAATTCTAATGCATGAATATAGATTTTCCAATGTTTTCCCCAAAAAGTCAAAAATCGACCTCGGGCCTGCTTGGTCAAAACTCGAAGTTCTAACCAAAACCCGATTACTCATTTACCCACGAACTCAAATATGCAATGGTTTTGAAATCCGACCTCAAATTGAGGTCCAAATTCCCAAAATTTGAGAATCCTAATTCCTACCCAAAACACCCAAATTTCCCATGAAAAACCCTGGATTTTGAAGTGAAATCATGTAAAAAGATGAATTAGATTGAAGAAGATGAGTTAGAAATCACTTACCTATGATTTGGAGAAGTTTGAGTCTTTTAAAAATCGCCTAGGGATGTTTAGGGTTTGAGAGAATTGAAAAATGGTGAAAATCCTGTCTAAAATTTCACTTAACAGGCCGCAGTTATCGTAATTGCGATTAGGGGTTCGCAATTGCGAACCCTATAATTTTCCGCTGCCTTCGCATTTGCGACAACTCTGACCTTCGCATTTACGGCCAGAGTGTCGCATTTGCGAGGATGGCCTGCCCAGGCCTGGTTCGCATTTGCGACAACTCTGACCTTCGCATTTACGGCCAGAGTGTCGCATTTGCGAGGATGGCCTGCCCAGGCCTGGTTCGCATTTGCGACATTATTGTCACATTTCCCAACCTGCTCACTTCACAA